CGAAGAGGTGGGGTGGATCGCCACCGTGTTGTCGAAGTCTGCCTTCGTCGCCCCCATCTTCACGGCCACAGCAAAGCCCTGCAGCATCTCGTCACACCCGATCCCCTGCATGTGGATGCCGACCACCTGCAAGATGCAATTTCAAGACTGAGTTTCTTACTAGGCACAGTCGTGAGAGGTGGGACATTCTACGCCCCACAGCACAGCACGGCCTCTGTGGCCCACGACCCTGCCCAAATGGGCCACTCTCCTCAGTATGTGGCTCCAGCCTGGTCAACTTCGTCCGGCGAGCCTTTACTCTGCCCTCTTGTGCAGGAAGCCCTCCATGCCACGAGCTTCGTGCCCGTCCCAAAGGGCCAGCCTGTTTGTTACTCAGATGCCCACGGGTGCGGGCCTTCCCAGCCAAGTCCAGTTCTCAGCCCTGACCTCCTGGCCCAGGCCCCCTCCCCACGGTCCTGTCACAGCTGCAACCTGGCTGTTACATGAGGACCAGACAGCCACAGGGCATCTTTCCCAGCTGCCTTCAAGGTCTAGATGGAAGGGGCCTGCCTTCACTCCCGCTCAGCCCCCAGAGCAGAGCACAGGCCTGTGCAGACCGGCCGCGTGAACGGCCGTGAAGGGGCAGACCAGTTTAGGCAGCAGGAGGCTAGCCAGTGGCAGGGGGACTGCGGGGTTCTCACAAGCCAACTGTGCTCGGAGTCCCAGGCCCGGCGGCCTGAGGAAGGCGCTGGTGCGTGTGCAGGTGTGCCCCAATCCTGCGCGGACGACGGACAGGAGGGGCTGAGGTGTGCCCGGACTGCGGGTGCTTCCTCACTTTCCTGGCCTCTCTCTCTCCAGCAAGTGTGATATAGCAAAACTGAAAAACCTGGGATCAGCAGTTAGTGTAATGGCTATGTCGCTGGACTCCCACAGTCGACCACAGTTCGTGTCCCGGACCTGGTGGCTTAAAACTCACGCTGGGCATGTGTGTGTGCGTGCCCAAGATCCCGAGAGGAGAACGAAGGAGAAGGGATTGTGGTGTGGCCATCCCCCCTGGGGGTTATTTCTCGCTGTCTCTCTCTCTCTGGCGAGCACACGTGCCCTATAGCAAAAAAAAAAAAAAAAAGAAAAAAGAAAAACCTCTCCAAAAAAAGAAAAACAAACAAACAAAAACCGAAAAACCAAAGAAAAAAGGAAATGGAATGACGATTAGCAGCCATAACAATCGGTAGCCAACGCCACAGACATCTCAGTCGGGCCGGCTGGCACAGTTCTAAGTGAAGAAGGTAAAGCTGACAGGCTCTCTCTCGGGGCTGCCAACAGTTACATCCAGATCAGCTGCAGACAAGTGTAGAGCCGTCCACAGAAACTTTAAACAAGGTGATCGAGATCCCGACGCACCTCTTCAAAGGGCTGTAAAAGGAGATGACCCCGGCTTTACCAGCATATCCCAGAGACAAGGCACGGCCAAGCAACGGCTGCCAAGAAGGGAGTGTCCAACCGGAGCCGACGAGACCAGGCAGGAGCAGGGGTCCCGGCAAGCACGTCGCGGGGAGCTTGGGGCAGTTGCCTGCTGACCTTCTGGAGGGTCAGAGTGATAGTGGCTTGTTAGGAGTGTTTATAATGAGAGGAAAAGGCCCGGAAAGCTTGACCCCCACAATGCTCCTGCTCGCTCCTCCCATCAAACAGGAGCACTCTCAGCGGGCATCCTCCTCACACCCTGATTGGCCTCACTCTGATCTTTTGTTCCCTAATCTAAAAAAAATCTTCAAAAACTGGGCCGGCCATGTGGCCAGGTGGTTACGGCGGCTGCTCCCACGTGGCCGCCTGTGTGGCTGGAGGACCAGACCTGGCAGCCCGATGAGCACGGCAGGCATGTGTGCTGCACGGAGACAGCGGGCCGCAGCGTGACCTGCCTGGCAGGGCTTCTCCTGTCTCTGTCTGTCAAGGGCAGTGGACTCCCACATGGCTGACTGCAGTCCCAGACCTGACAGCTTGCTTCCTTCACTCACTCTGTCCCTCTCTGGTCAAATTTAAAATAAATAAGTTAACTAAAACAATTCTTTTAAAAAAATAAAAATCTTTAAAGAAAACCTATTGTTCTTCAGTTAATAATGTAAAAGACAGACTGCATTGACATGGTTAAATTCTCATGACTCTCAGTGTTCTTTTGGCGGATTTTTCTACAGGGCACATGTGCTCACAAGAGACAGAAAGCAAGAAATCACACCCCCAGGGAAATAGTGATGCCAAAACCCTTCTCCATTCTCCTCTTGGGACCTTGGGGATGCAAGCACATGCCTGGCATGAGTTTTGAGCCGCCGGGTCTGGGACTCGAGCACGGTCAAATACCTGGGAGTCCAGTGATGTAACCAGTGCATCGAATACTGGTCCCGACCCCCAGTTCTTTAAGATGGACTACACAGCTAGTCTCATCATCATTATTCGTTTGTTTTAGAGAGGTCTTTGCTATAGGGCACATACGTTCACCAGAGAGATAGAAAGCAAAAGATCACCCTCCAGGGGGTGTGGTCACACTGAGTCCCTTCTCCTCCATTCCCCTCTCAGCAGTTTGGACATTTTAAGCCACTGGCCTAGGACTTGAACCGCAGTGGATTATGTGGGAGCTCAGCGACATAACCATTACACCATATACTGGTCCCAGGATCATTTTTATTTATTTATTTTTTAAGAGACATTTCTGCTATAGGGAGTGTGCGCTCACTGGAGAGACAGAGAGATGAAAGCAAGAACTCGCCCCCCAGGAGGGATGGCTCTGTGATAATCCCCTCGCCTCCAGTCTCCTCTCGGGATTTTGGGCACACACACACGCCCAGCCAAGTTTTTAGTCACCAGGTCCAGGACTCGAACCACGGTAGACCACAAGGAGTCCAGCCCCACGGCCATTACGCCATCTGCTGGTTCCCTCAGTATCATTATTATTATTTTTTGAGAGGTTTTTGCTATAGGGTGCGTGCGCTCGCCAGACAGAGAGAGACATAGAGACAGAAAGCAGGAAATCACCCCCCAGGGGGGGATGGCCACGCCGCAATCCCTTCTCCTCCATTCTCCTCTCGGGATCTTGGGCACGCACACACATGCACATGCGTGACTTTAAGCCACGGGGCCGGGACGCGAACCACGGTCGACTACGTGGGAGTCCAGTGACAGCCATTATGCTAACTGCTGGTCCCCCGCCAGTATCATTACTTTTAAAAGTATCTTAATGAAGCTTATGTTGAGAAATGAAGCTTATATTTTTACCCCCCCGCCCCACGAAGTTTATCAATGATTTTTGCCATTAAAGAGACAAAGTGAGGGGGCTTGAGCAACAGCTGAGCAGCTGGATGTTTGTCCAGGTCTTGCAGACTCCGCGAAAGAGTGGTTCTGGAAAAGGGGGCGAAAGGGGAGCAGCGCTGGGAGTGACCGTGCTGAGACGGCGCAGGGTCCCAAAGGTGGTGGCCCCATGAAAGGTCAGACATTCTATGTGAAAAGCACGGCAGAATTACGCAAGCCATGGAAAAGTTAAAGTCCGGAATGAGATTCTGTGAAGTGGCCACGCAACACGGTGAAGATAGAGCCAGGCACGGGGGCGACCTGGGTGTGTGGCCAGAGGGTCCCTGGTGAGACCACTTCAAGCAGTGGCCTTTGCCTTGCCTGTCAGTGGGGTGGATACGCCTGTGTTAACAACCCACCAGTTAGGACAAAATGTGGGTATATTATCATGGTTGAAGGGAGAAAATAAAATTATATGAAAGACTGAAAAAAAAAAGCCAAAGCCAAAGCCAGTCAGAGAGAGAGCACCACCAACAGGTCTCATGCCGTGAACCACTGCCAGCCCGGCCAGCACGGGGTGGGGACACACGTGCCCGGCATGCTGTGAGGGTTCCGAACTTAAACCTGGAACCGTCCCACAACATCAGCCCTACAGAGCGTCAGTTCTTACGGCGTGCCACTATTAGGCTGCCTTATTTTTATCTCTTAATTCTATTTTCCACAAGCTTTTAAATTTTTTAAAAACTGGCAAAGCTTGCATGAGACAGCAAGAGCTGGCTGGGGGCTGGGCGGGGAGAGTGAAGACCACCCAAAGGTATGGTCACACTCCGATCCATCAGGACGTGGCATTTCCGCACACTGGCGCGGTGTGCTTCTCAAGCCACTGAAGCTGGGGCTCCGGTGACAGTCACGTGGACGCTGTGCACGGGGCTCTCTGTTAATCAGGGCCGCCCATCACGGCGTCCCGAAGTCCTCGCAGGAGAGCGGAGTCCCCACCTGTGCGTATCCTGGCCTACACTCAGTGAGGGCTCCGGGGGTCGATTTTCACCAGTTTATTTTCTTTTTTCAAAGGTTTTGGCCACAGAGCACGTGTACTTGCAGAGAGAGACAGGTACGGAGAGAGGGAAAGTAAGAAATTACCCCCAAGGTGCACAGCCATGCTGCAATCCCTTCTCCATTCTCCTCTTGGGATCTGGGCACATACACACATGCTTAGAGTGGCTCTCAAGTTCTAGGCCTGGGACTCGAAACCCAGGTAGCTATGTGGCAGTCTGGTGCCCACTCTCCCACGCCACCTGCTGGCTCCTTGCCACTTACATTGATTTTTAATTTTATTTATTATCATTATTCTTCAATTTTGACCAGAGAGAGAAAGAGACAGATGGGGGAGTGAGAAAGCAAGACACCAGGTCCGGGACTTAAAGCACAGCCAGCCCTGTGGGAGGCCGGCGCCTCGGTCATCATAGTACCTGCTGGCCCCACCACTTACATGTCACAAGGAGTGAAATTTCTTTTTCTTCTTTAGAGAAATTTTTGCTATAGGGCATGTGCACTCACCACAGAGACAAGAAAGAGAGATAGAAAGGGAGAAATCACCCCCTAGAGGCGATAGCCACACCACAATCCTTTTTTCTCCGTTCTCCTCTCGGGATCTTGGGCACACACGCACACAGATGTGACCGGCCTGTTTCAAGCCTCTGGTTTCGGGACTTGAACCACAGTCAGTCATGTGGGAATCCAGTGACATAACCATGTTGCCATCTGTTGGTCCCGAGGGGAGTAAAAACATCTTTCTAAATTAAATATTAAGAACCCCAGAACACGTATACGGAGTAAAGGTGGGACAGCCGAGCTGAGTCAGAGGCTCATCTACCGGGACAACCCCCAGCAGCCTGTGGGTGCAGCGGGGCACGCGCTGCGGGCTTTGCACACCTTCTCCTCTCGGTGGGCGCACACCATCTTCATCACACACTTCGTTTTCCTTTTGGTGACTGCGTGATACATGGGGGTGAAGGTGGTCGAGTAGGTCTTCACATTTTCTTTTCCATATTTATGAATGGCCTCCTCTGTAAGACACATTAAAAAAGGATACATCAAAAAGCGAAAACAGGGGAACCAGCAGTTAGCGTGAGGGCTATGTCGCTGGACTCCCACATAGTCGACCACGGTTCGCATCCTGGACCCGGTGGCTTAGAACTCATGCCGGGCGCGTGTGCGTGCGTGCCCAAGATCCTGAGAGGAGAATGGAGGAGAAGGGACTAAGGCGTGCCCATCCCCCCTGAGGGTGATTTCTCGCTTTCTGTCTCTCTGTCTCTCTATGTCTGTCTGGAGAGCGCACGCGCCCTATAGCAAAAACCTCTCAAAAAAAAAAAAAAAAAAAAAAAAGTGAAAACACTGACCTGTCAAAGAGAGAAATGACCAGAAAGACACTACCTCAATCAAATTATGAGGAAATAGCAAACATTTTAAAATGAGGGACATTCTTTTTTCTCTAAAGTATTGCAATTTTAAAAAAAATTATATTTATTATTTTTTAATATGACATAGAGCACATGCGCTCAGGAAAGAGAAAGAAAGTGAGAAAGCACGCCTTCAGGTCCAGGACTTGACAGTAGTCGGCCGCGTGGGAGTCCAGCACCTTAACCACCATAGCACCTTAACCACCATACCACCTTAACCACCATACCACCTGCTGGCCTCAAATGAGGGACGTTCTACAAAATGAATGTTGACACCCTATAAGACAAACGGATGAATTTTTATCTCTGGATTAAAAGAGACCAAGAAGGGCTGGCAGGAGGTGTGGTGGCTGGGGCACTGGACTCCCACAGGCTGAAGTCGTCTGAGTCCCGGTGCTGGCATTCCTAGCGGCTTGCTTTCTCGCTTTCCCTTTCTCTCTCTCTCTCTGGTCAAATTAAAAATAAACAAAAAAAAATTTTTAAATAATTATTTAAAAATTTTTTTTTGTTTATTTTTAATTTGACCAGAGAGAGAGAGAGAAAGGGAAAGCGAGAAAGCAAGCCGCCAGGTCAGGGACTTGAACCATGGTCAGGCATGTGGGAGTGTCCAGTGCTTAACCATCACGGCACCTGCTGGTCCCAAAATAATTTTTTTTTTTTTTGCCTTTTTTTATTTTTCTTGAGAGATTTTTGCTATATGGCGTGAGCGCTCGCCAGACAGACAGAGAGAGACACAGAGACAGAAAGCAAGAAATCACCCCCCAGGGGGGATGGTCACACCGCAATCCCTTCTCCTCCATTCTCCTCTCGGGATCTTGGGCACGCACGCACACGCGCCTGGTGTGAGTTTTAAGCCACCGGGTCCAGGACGCGAACCGCGGTCAACTACGTGGGAGTCCAGCGACATAGCCATTACGCTAACTGCTGGTTCCCAAGAGTCTTTTGTACTATTTTTGCAACTTAAAAGTTGACCGGCCAGAGAGGGCGGGCACTGTCCCTACCAGGCGGGGCGGGGAGTCGAAAGGCCCTCCCTTTAGAATACCTACCTTCCGTGAGTCCCACTGTCCCAATAGGGGGGTGGCTGAAAACCACAGTGGGGATGTTGTCGTAGTCTAGTTTGGAATCTTCTTTGCATTCGAAAAGTCTGTGGGCGAGTTTCCGGCCAGCAGCTATGGCCACTACAAAGACACATTAGTATCAGTGTTCATCCTTGTGTTCCCTTAAACACAACAGAATCACCCCAACCATTCATCCACCGGGCTTAGTGCACCGTCTGACAAAGTTCTACGCTAATGCTCCTTACAGCACCAGCTCAGTACGATGCTGACACATCACGGCCTCAGTGAGCAGTCCCAGCTATGGGCTCCCGCATTCACTATGCTCTGTGCATTCACGACCCAAACACAGACAATGTGCATGCTCCCAGTCACCTGGCACCTGACTTAGTAAGAAGGGATATTTGCTTTTTGATATATTTAGACAGTAAACTGCATTAGTTCCAAGCATCTTCTACTTTAGATAAAGCATCATTTCACAGTATTTTTACTTAAGTCTATTCTCCTTAGTCTGTGTTTATTCCTTTTTTAAAAATTAATTTTATTTATTCATTCATTCATTTTTAATTTGACCAGAGAGAAAGAAGGGGGGGAAGAGAGGGAACGTGTGGAAGCATGTCATCAGGTCCAGGACGCAAACTGTGTCTGGCCATATGGGAGTGGCTGGCCTTAACCACCGTGGCACCTGCTGGCCCTAGTCTGTTTTGATTCCTAATAGCCTCTTAAGATAATTAAAGGAAAAAAAAAAAGCTTGACTTTAATAGTTTTTGTTTTATTTTTTGAGAGAGATTTTGCCATAGAGCACATGTGCTTGCCAGAGACAGAAGGCGAGAAATCACCTCCCAGGGGGATGGCCTCAGCACAATCTCTTCTCCTCCAGTCTCTTTTTAGGGTTTTGGGCACGCACACACATGCACCTGGCATGAATTTAAGCCACCGAGCCTGGGACCGGAACCACGGTGGACTATGTGGACATCCAGCGATGTAACCATTATGCCAACTGCTGGACCTCATCAGTTGTCTTTATTAACTTCATGGAGCGGTCTTTTCCCTCAAATGAGACATCAACAGGATACATAAAAATTTTTCTTCACTCTGACAAAAATTTTTTTAAGCCACAACCATCCTATGAAGTATATATGATGATTGACTTCATTTTTTAAAAATAGTTTTTACTATAAGGCACATGTGCTCGGCAGAGAGACAGAGGGAGTGAGAGACTGGCCCCCACAAGCCCTCCTCTCAGGACTGTGAGTGCACTCAAGCCAGGCGTGTTCGCCAAGCCGCTGGGTCCAGAACTCGGACCACGTACTCAACCACCTGGGCCTGCTGCCTTACCACACTGCCCGGCTGACCCTGACGCAACTTCGACTGTTAGACTGTGCCATGAAGTTCCCAAAACTCTGCTTGTGACTTTGCTTTTGTTAAGGCAACTTATTTTTTCTTTATAGAATTATTTTATTTAACTTTTTAGCTTATTTGTTTATTTATATTTTTATTTGGCCAGAGAGGAACAGAGTGGGGAGATGGGGAGTGAGAAAGCAAGCTGCCAGGTTCGGGATTCAAACCACAGTCGGCCATGTGAGAGTCCAGGGCCCTTAACTACCACACCACCTGCCAGCCCCAAGGCAACTTCGTGTCAAAGATTATGAAATTTCAGACATGAAGGCTAAATTCAAGAAATCAATTGTACAACCTGGTGACTGTAGTTAATGATGTATTGTTACTTAAGAACTGCTAAGAGTAGATTTTTAAATTCTCAGCAAAACAAAGGGTAGGTATGAGAACGCCCTAAGGAGGCATCTCACAACATGTGAGTACAACAAGATGTCGTGTTTCACACCGCAACATGTCAGTACGGCAAGACGTCATGTTTTACATCACAAATACACACAGTAAAAGAGAGAAAGCTTCCTACACGGGCTGGGAGCCTTCTGCTGTGGTACCATGGTGGCATCCACCCTGAGGTGGGAGATGGGAGCCCAGGGTGTCCCGCAAAGGCTGCTGAAGCCTGCGGTGCTGTCTGAAGCAGGAGGAATGGCGTCACTGCCCTGATGGGGGAGATGCTGCATTTCCTGAGTGCGGGGCTGAGGTGGGGACAGGTGCGGTTGGTCTGGGTTGTACCAACGAGTCCCACGAGAACTCCAACTGACACGCCTCCTCCTGAAGCCCCCCAGGGCCACCACACAGCTCTGATAGGAACCGAGCCCTTCACAGGTGACCACGGCCCACATGCAGATGCTGGTCCTCACACGTACTTTAGGTCTCCGAGGAAACAATGGCTTCTTCAGCAGCGTCGGCCCACCAGCGCCTACGCCGAAGCACTAACCATTCGACGCCATGAAGACGCTTGCCCTCCTCCTGGGCGGCACAGCTTCCTGTGACGGGCGGCCCCTTACCTGGAGTGAGAAGAGCTTTTCCACACACGTCCCCAACTGCATAGACACCTTGCACGTTGGTGTTCTGGAATTCATCCACTATGATGTGACCTTTGTCATCAGTCTGAACCCCCTAAAGCCAAAAAGGACATCCCATAAATATTTGGCCCTTCTACTCAAGAGGCAGACCAAACCTGTGGGTCCTCCTCATCCCCTCCCACAACTCCTCAGTCTGAATCTCCAAGAAACAAAAAGACTTGACTGTAATGTAAAACATTTAAAGCTGGCAAGTTTTCTATCTTTTGCTGAATGTAAAACGTAAGTATTTATCAAAGTTTGATGTGTTTTAACAATAAAATATATAATTCTTTTTCTTTTTTTTTTTTTTTAAGAGAGATTTTGGGTATAGGGCATGTGAGTTTGTCAGAGACAGATAGACAGACAGAAAGCGAGAAATCACCCCCCCAGGGCGATGGCCATGTGGCAATCCCTTCTCTTCCATTCTCCTCTTGGGACTGTGGGGACACATGCACACATGCCTGGCATGAGATTTTAAGTCGTGGGTTGAAATCCAGCGATATAACTATTCCACCGTCTGCTGGTCTCTTTCTTGTGTGTGTGTGTGTGTGTGTGTAAAGATTGTGTGTATATACAATTGCATGTGTGTGTGTGTCCAAAATCCCAAGAGAAGAAATGGAGGAGACAGAATTGTGGCATGGCCATCCCTTAGGCAGTGCCTTCTCACTCCCCACTATCCAGTGAGCACATGTGCCTGCTAGGAAAAAATAAAAAACATATTTCACAGCTTACATCACGTTTATATTGAAGTGGGGGAAATGAAGAATATTTCATAGTAACATATTTCAAATATTAGAGCATAGTTAAGACAACGAAGAAGAAAATAAAAGTAAAATAAGAGTAGGGGTGAGATGTGATTTAAAATGGATAGTTGGAAATATGGAAAAAATATGTTCAGAGGAAATCTAAGGTAAAAAAGGAGCACAAATGGGTAAGTGTGTTCAGTTATATACACTGAATAGAACCTTTGGCACTAGGAATCAGAGCATTTTGTCATATAGAATTAACACATATTATAAAAGTGCGTAGTGTCAAAGGAATAGAACCACCAGCATTCAAAGCAGCTTTGTCAACTAGGCAATGAAACACACTACAGCATGTCTCTGTTGTCCATCATTGAATACACTGGCAGCAACTTTGAAATGAAAAGAAAGAAAAGGAAAAAGGAGCCGAACCCCTTTTATTTTCTCTGTTTAAAATCAAACAGAAACAAACATCAATTCTGTTGTACACTAACATCTTCAAAGTACATAGTTTGTACAAGAGAAGGACTAAGAACAAAAATGTGTTTACAGAGGTCCAAACACAGATGAGCGAGTGAGCCCTCACACAGCTTTCCGATGGTACTCGGGGGGAGCCACTTCATAATCGCTGGCACCAAACAAAGTTGCAGAATTCTTTGCCAGGTACTTTAGGAAATCGTGAAGATAATTCAGTAATAAAGCAAGGCTCTTCTCATCAAGAGGTATATAGGCCAACATCGCACCAATCCGTACAAATAATCTCAGTAGATGAGGTGCTCCATACACCTGGGACATGGGCGCATCAGGGTGATCTGCAAGGATCTCAGCATACTGTGGTCTCTCAAACTTGTGGAGCAGCTGAGTGCCCAACATGACGTTGAAGTATTCTTTTATACCTGCCACAACTTCATTCACAGCATACTCCTTATTATCGGTGTTTCCTCAAGATTTCTTATAATTTGCATAATCCTCCAGAATGGAATCCACATTCTTCTTAGCAGGAAGATAAAAGAGCTGTTTTTGTCGGGTAATTAAGTCCCAGTCATCAACAAGCCAGGGTTTTAGTTCTTCAGGAATCTTTACTTTAACTTCAACTCTGTTCATAAATGTTTCCTCATTTTCAACAGTAGGATCTACCCGGGCCCTTTTCTTCCGAGGAGGCCGAGGTGTCTCACTGGTACTGCGTCATCTCCATTCCCAGGTGTTTTCTGATTGCTCTTTTTTGTGTCCACTTCAACATTTTTCTGTTGCAGACCGGATGTCTTCTTTCCTGGTGCAGCCCCTCTCCTCTTGCCCTCTGCACATTGCTCCTGATTGGCTTTTTGAAGTTCTCCTGTTCCTGCAGATCGGTGTCCACATATCTGAGTGCTCTGCTCTCTGGAACCCATTCATCCCAATTTTTATTCCAACCACTGTAATGTATAAAATATTTCACTTGCTTATCCTTTATGGCAACTTTCACACACTTTGCTTCATAAAGAAGAGGTCCATGAAAGCACAGCACTCTCTCACCCTCCTGAAATTCAGGCTTCGGATCCTGCTTCGGCACCATTTATAAGTGATTCCTTTTTTTCTTTTTTTTAAAGGCTTTTGCCAAAGGGCGGTGTGTTGCTCACCAGAGAAAGACAGAAGGAAAATGAGAAATCACCCCCCAGAGTGGGTGGCCATGCCTCAGTCCCTTCTCTATTTTCCTCCTGGGATTTTGGGCATGTGTGCACACATACCCAGCATGATTTTCAAGCTGCCAGGTCCAGGACTCTAACTGCAGTCAGCCATGTGAGAGGCTAGTGCCTTTAACCACTGTACCACCTGCCAGCCCGAATTTAGCCTCATTTGAAAAATAATTCAGCAACTGTAGTTAGAAACTGCAGCTACTGGGGCCGGAAGGTGGCGTGGTGGTTTAGGGCACTGGACTCCTACATGGTCGGCTGTGGTTTGAGTTCAGGACCTGGCAGCTTGCTTTCTCATTTTTTTTTTCTCTTTCTCGCTCTGTCCTCTCTGGTCAAATTAAAGTAAAAAAAATTAAAAAAAAAATAAAGCTAAATAAAATTTTAAAAAATACAATAAAAAATTGGGACCAGCAGTTACGTAATGGCTATGTCGCCGGACTCCCATGTAGTTAGTTGACTGTGGTTCGTGTCCCAGACCGGGTGGCTTAAAACTCACGCCGGGAACGTGTGTGTGTGTGCTCAAGATCCCGAGAAGAGAATGGAGGAGAAGGGATTGCAGCATGGCATCCCCCCTGGGGGGTGATTTCTTGCTTTCTATCTCTCTGTCTCTGTCTGTCTATCTGGCGAGCACATGCACCCTATACCAAAAGCCTCTCAAAACAAACAAACAAAAACAAACGTATAAATCTCTAGCAGAACACAATCTATAGGGCCAGCAGGTGGCATGGTGGTCAAGGCACTGAACTCTAGGGAGCGCCCGAATCTGGAAAAAATCCTTAAAGTAGGCACCAGTCTTTGCGCTGGTGTTGCACGGCAGGCTCTATCCCCTTGGGGGTGACTTCTCCTTTCTCTTTCTCTCTCTCTGCCTCTCTGACTCTGTGACTCTCTGGCAAGTGCACACACCATAAAGCAAAAAAAATCTAAATAAGCAGACAGACGATAGAGAGAGAGAGGAAAACATTCTGTAGTAACAGGCTGGTCTGGCGTAGCAGAAAAGCCACCCTGCTCCCAACAGCACAGACTAACACCCGTGCGTGCACAAGCACTCCCACGCAGAAACCCGGACTGCTCCGAAGTCCAGAACTTCCTGAGCACAAGCCAGGGGCCAAGTCCACAAAAGCCCACATGTGCCAAGTGCAGTCCCATGCTACAATTCACACAGTACAGACTGACACGTGGCTGCACGGTGCACATGAAACATAGAATTCCCTGTGCAGACGGGGGTCTCGGTCCACACATGTGAGCAGCAGACCTATCCAAGCACACTGGAAGAGAGGTGCCCGATGGGGGGCCATGTGACCCACGTGACATGCATTCTCTTCCTCCTCTCTATAACCCAGTGAGGGTTTTTTTTTTTTTTTTTTTTTTTTTTTGGGGGTTTTTTTTTTTGGGCGGCTGCCAC